GAAGTGAAGACAGGAGTAAGACAGGGTTGCCTACTATCGCCAATGATTTTCCTGATTGCAGTAGACTGGATAATGCGACAAACAGCGGGCAATGAGGAAACAGGCATAAAATGGACTCACACAAAGGACTTGGAGGATCTGGACTTCGCCGATGATATATGCCTGATTTCCCACAAACTGGAAGATATGCAAGTGAAAATTAACAAGTTGGCAGAAGAAGCATCAAAGATAGGACTCCAGGTGAACATAGAGAAAACAGAGGTGATGAAGATCCCTGGCCAACACCAACAACAACAACAGACAGCAATCAGCATAAATGGAAAAAACCTGAAAGAAACTACCTCCTTCACCTACTTGGGAAGCATTGTTTCAACTACAGGCGGAACTGACGAGGATATCAAAGCAAGGATCGGGAAAGCAAGGCAAGCTTTCATTACTCTGAAGTCTGTGTGGAGGACAACATCATTCAGCGTCAAAAATAAGATCGGGATTTTCAACTCCAATGTGAAGTCAGTACTACTATACGGATCAGAGACTTGGCGTGTCACAAAGAGCACCTCAAACAAGCTACAGACCTTCATTAACAGATGTCTTCGCTCAATACTCAAGATCAGATGGCCGGAAAGGATCAGCAACAAAGATCTCTGGGAGCGAACCAACCAGGAACCCATTGTGAAACAAATAGGCAGGAAAAAATGGAGATGGATTGGCCACACTCTGAGGAAACCAGCAAGTGACATCACTAGACAAGCCCTCGAGTGGAACCCGAAAGGGAAGCGGCGAGTTGGTCGTCCAAGGGTGACCTGGAGGAGATCATGTGAAGAGGAGATGAAAGCATGTGGGCAGACCTGGAGCCAGGTGAAAACTCTAGCAGAGAATCGAACGCAATGGAGACGCACGGCTGAAGCCCTATGTTCCTCTAGGAACTAAAGGAAATAATAATAATAATAATAATACTACATGACTACTATCAACTAAATGTGACAAAACGGAGCTAAGGATTGTTTCTCTCTGTCCTTTGCCAAATCACCACGATGGGAGATGTTCAGTAACACGTTGGCTAAACTGTCTAGTAGTACACCCAACATAACTGTCATCGCAGGTGCAGTTGAGTTGGTAAATGCACATAGATGTGACAAAGCTACCTAGCTTATCCTTCGTTTGCGTCTCAATCATTCGTCGACTAGAGAATGAAAAACATAGGTATGCTGAGTAAAACATTCTTCGTATACTCCTGGAAGGTCTCTGGAATAAAATCTCACTTGACAAGTTACCATTAAATTATAACTTAATAAATAGAGGTTGTTTACGTATAAGACAAGGCTGCCTAGTATCCCCAACCATTTTCCTGATTGCGGCGAGGAAACAGGCATAAAATGGACCCTCACGAAAAACCTGGAGGATCTGGACTTCGCCGATGATATATGTCTGATTTCCCAAAAACTGGAAGATATGCAAGCGAAAAGCAACAAGTTGGCAGAAGAAGCATCAAAGATAGGACTCCAAGTAAACATAGAGAAAACAGAAGTGATGAAGATTCCTGGGAAACAACAACAGACAACAATCAGCATAAATGGGATGAACATGAAAGAAACAACCTCCTTTACCTACCTGGGAAGCATCGTTTCAACTACAGGCGAATGGAACTGATGAGGATATCAAACCTGCGAGGGTCGGGAAAGTAAGACAAGCAAGCTTCCATTATTCTCAAGTCTGTATGGAGGACATCAATAACACTCAGCATGGAAAATAAGATCCGGATTTTCAACTCCAATGTGAAGTCAGTCAGTGCTACTATACGAATCAGAGACTTAGCGTGTCATGAAGAGCACTTCGGACAAACTACAGACTTTCATCAACAGCTGCCTTCACTCAATACTCAAGATCAGAGAGCCAGCCAGAAAAGATCAGCAACAGGGATCTCTGGGAGCGAACCAACCAGGAACCGATTGTACAACAAATAAGCAGGAAGAAACGGAAGCGGATTGGTGGCTATACTCTGAGAAAACCATCAAGTGAAATCACACGACAGCCTCTCGAGTGGAATCCGAATGGAAAGCGGCGAGTCGGTCGTCAGTACGAGGATGTCTTGGTGGAGGTCATGTGAAGAGAAGATGAAAGCATGTGGTCAGACTTGGAGCCAGGTGAAAACGTTGTGAGGGAACCGAACGCAATGGAGACGTGAGGCTGAAGCCCTATGTTCCTCTAGGAATTAAAGGAAATAATAATAATGATACGTACAGTCATCGTCTCAAGTTTTCTCCAATGTTTTCATATGTTTGTTTATGAAACTAACCGGATAGCCGAACCCCCTCAAGGAATCATGAATCTTGATGTGGCGAAATTTACTTTCTGTCCAGTATAATCATACTTCAACGAACACTCAGTGTTGTTGGTAGATGTATGTGTCTAACACTAAATATCTTGGTTATCTCAGCAGATGCGGGTTACAACCACACTAATTGAATCGCCATTTTCTCCAAGAACAGTATAACTAAACACAACTCTGTCCTCTCTTCTATTCCAACATACAAAGATCACACAGCCGTATCGAATTACAGTGATGTGGCCTCCTCTTAGTACTGCTGTATACTTTCAGTTAGATGGTTCAATGTTATCTGGTGATTAAACCATTGAGCTTAGAACACATTAATGCCAGAAATACTCACCTAAACTGTAAATCTTCTGCATTATTTTGAGTGTAGCCGCCTTATTTATTCCACGGCAAACAATCATTGGTCATAGATTTACAGTGGCAAAACATTGAGGTATATGTTTAATGCACTCTGAAATGCAACTAGCTACCCTGCATAATAAACGTAATCCGTCATAGATGAAGAGTTTAGTTAGGCAATTTTCATGGATTATTGAATTCCACTGCAGTTGTCAAATGGTCAGTAGGCTGGCTTCGTAATTTGAATGTCCTAGATTCGATCTAAGCTGTGGTCATGGTGTGGTGAGAGCTGGCTGCTAGCCAAGGTTGGTAGACAGTAATTGACGTCAATGTTTATGTCCCCAATATTGGTGGTGAGAAAATGTGAACAAAGGCTTTGCGTAGGCGGATACAGTTAGCAGATAGATGATCTGACATTCAAGAAACAGCCACAAGAGATGCAAGGTTAACTTTCTGTGAGAAACAACCAATCAAAAGACTGTATTTTCTACTAACAATAATGTACATTAAAATCTATACATATGTGTTGATTTTCCTTAATAAACGATCTGTTGCCTGGCCCTTGTCTTCTGTTAATACAATGGGTGCATACTGATGAAGAGTCGCAAACTAGGCTGACGAAACGGCTGTTTACTGCTCACTGTTGGTTTTCAATGGTTTCTTAACTGACGTCAATCTGTGTGACTTTGCTTAAAACCGATAAAGTCACTGGAAACTGACACTTGAAAATCTTGACATTGTTAACTCATTGTTTGTGTCAAGTGTTTAATGCATTCCAATAACGCTTTCTTCTGTGTTTATGAATGTAAATTTCTGTAAATCGGGGTTTCCCATCCGTATCTCTAAGGCCTCAGTAACGCATGCAAAAACTGCAAAAGCATACTTCTTTTGAGTGGTTTCACTGAACTTTGTACATAACTTTGAATGAATTTTACTTACATATTGAGTGGCTAGTGTTGAATATATATATATATATATATATATATATATATATGCCCAGTTATAGCACTCATTATTGATCCATAGTGACCTTTTTGTAGTCAAGCTGGATAGTGATCCTTCACTCTTTCAGGTGAAACACTCAGTGAAGGACCTATATACCTCGCTCCAGTGGAGCAAGTGAATAGGTAGATACATATAGAAGTGGTCAAATGAGATAGTTTGTCTTTAAAGTCATTGAAGAACATTGAAGAAGAGAATATCAAACACCCTGAAAAGAGCACTGTTTGCTTCTACATTAAGACCGGTATTATCTTGCCGCTCAGAGTGTCAGCCAGAAGGTCGCCCCTGTACTCATGTGTAGCATTTCCTTCGGAAAAGAGATAGGGTGTCCTTTGTCGGTTTTAGGTTTTACGTGTTTATCGAAAAAAATGGCTCCCCTCCCCCAATGGTTTATAGATAAACACGTAAAACCCAAACCACCAAAGGACAACCGATCTCTATGCCGAAGAAAATGTTATACATGAATGCAGCGTTCAAAGGCGACCTTCTGGATGATACTCTGAAGAAGAGAATATTATTATTGTTCCCTTTAGTTCCTAGAGGAACATAGGGCTTCAACCGCACATCTCCATTGCGTTCGGTTCTCTGCTAACGTTTTCATCTGACTCCACGTTTGCCCACATACTTCCATCTCCTCTTCACATGACCTCCTCCATGTCACCCTCGTACTGACGATCAACTCGCCGCTTCCCATTCGGATTCCACTCGAGCAATGGCCTGTCGTGTGATGTCACTTGATGGTTTCCTCAGAGTATGACCAATCCACCTCCACTTCTTCCTGCATATTTGTTGCACAGTTAGTTCCTTCTGGGTTGGTTCGCTCCCAGAGATCCATCCCTATTGGTCATCTTTTCTGGCCATCTGATCTTGAGTAGTATTGAGCGAAGACAGCTGTTGATGGAGGTGTGTAGTTTGTTCGAAGTGCCCTTCGTGACGCGGCGCCAAGTCTCTGACTGACTTCACATTGGAGTTGAAAATCCGCATCTTATTTTCCATGCTGATTGCCGTTGACCTCCACACAGACTTGAGAGAAATGAAAGCTTGCCTTGACCACTTCTGTGTGAATGTACCTATTTATCTGCTTCTCTGGAGCGAGGTATATAGGTCCTTCAATGTGGGTTTCACTTGAAAGTGTGAAGGAGCACTATCTCGGTTGGCTACAGAACAGGCATAATGAATCCATAAGCAGTAATCTAATTGAACATAAATTTTTTAATATTTAAAACTGGTTATTTTAAAATATTAGAAAACATAGTAGTAGTAGTATATTATTGTCTGACTTTTCTAATCTCCTTTATTTATTTATTTATTTTTTCTGCACTAGGCTTTGGCTGGAACAGTCGCCACAGACGAGATGAATATTATTACCGGTGCATTGGCTTTAACGACGAAAACAGTTGCTGATGTGATGACTCCCCTGTCTGATGCCTTTATGTTATCCTATTCAGCTATATTAGATTTTCATACAATGAATGAAATCTTTTCCCATGGTTATACACGTATCCCTGTTTACGAGAATGATAAACAGAATATTCGAGCTGTATTGAATGTTAAAGATTTAGCCTTTATCAATACAGATGATAAGGTGCCTGTATCGACTGTATGCGATTTTTATAATCGTTCAATTATTATTGTATTGGATTCAACGAATTTAGAAGTTATGCTGAAAGAATTTCGTCAAGGTGAGCTGCTTCTTTTTTGTTTTTTAAACATTTATCTTTCGAGTTTCACCACGGATTGATATCAGTTAGAGAACCATTGAAAACCAGCCACAGGGAGTACTGGACAGCTAGCTGTTTCATCCTAGTTTGGGAATCATCGGCAGTACGCATACACCTCACAGGGGGTTCGAACCTAGGAACTTCTGGTTACAAGGTGAGCTACCTCGTATACCATTCAGCCACTGGGACCCGATTCAGAGACCAGCCCATAAATTCTAACTTCTACCAATGATGCTCAGGAAGGCTTCGTGTGCTTTTGGAAGTGTGTGGGCGGTTATTACTTCCCGGCTGCCCACACCGTGGAAGTTGATTGATTCTTCGGGTACCTAAAACGGAAAGAATGTTAGTATTGCTTGACCGCAGAGCCTAAGAGACAACTGCTTGAGGCCGGTCACACACGGCCTGTATGAACTGGTTTCTTGGATTGGCTCAGTATTAGTAACTTACTACCAATTAAGGACTACCGTAGGGTAAGTCGGGATGTACCATTGTTGGGGTCGACCTTTTCTAAACCCCTCTCTCCAGAGTGGAGCGATAGCATAGCTGGCTGGTATGCTCGTCATCTGAGAGGAACACCTTAGTGCAGTAACATCCCTGTTCCCCAGCTGTACGAATTCGCCCCAGGCTTCCTGGTTGGAGTCATTGGGACGGTAAAAACCAATGAAGGCTGGATGCAATTGGTGATATGGCTCAAAATGCTCGTTGTCAATAACTGGCACAGATACATGCACTCCTTGTGACTTATAATACCCGATGAAACTATGTTATTCTTCCTTATTACTATTCTTTTTGCCTTATATCTATGTTTACTGTCTCTGTTTTGCATTTCTTTTTACTTTCTTCTCTTGTTTTGTGTGCTACATGGAGTGTGGTGACTCGAACTGTTACACATCTGTACAAAGTTCTATGTTGAAACCAGTCAGTCAGTCAGTCAGTCAGTCAGTCAGTCAGTCAGTCAGTCAGTCAGTCAGTCAGTCAGTCAGTCAGTCAGTCAGTCAGTCAGTCAGTCAGTCAGTCAACTTCTACGAATTCGTGAATTAGAGCGACCAACTCTTGAAAACATTTATCTCTTTATTTCCAAGTGTTAATGAGATAAATCATAACCAGTGGGGTGGTCCACCAAGTCTGGCTAGATGACAGTTACTCACTCATGACATTGGCTGTTGGTTGTGCTATATATCCCGAATTGATAGAAGTTGGGACTCAGGGTTCATTAGATTGGGTTGGGTCTCAGTGACTGTATGTTCTACGAGCTCACCATGTGTGTGACAGGAAACTCCTACTAGGTGGATGCGTACCGATGAAGAGTCCCAAACTAGGAAGAAACAACTGGTTTTCCAATGGTTCTCTAGCTGATATTAGCTCTTGATCAAACTTATAACTATTTATTGTTTGATTAGTGTGTTTACCTTTCCATTTTATCAACTTTCCCTGGGAATGCGTTCATTCGGGAAGTCGTTGTTTGCAAATTTCATCATAAAATAAAATCAGTGAAAACAAAGGAACACTGAATAAGTATTTCGTCCTATTTTGAGACTCTCCTACCTTTGTGAGGCGTCCAACCCGGGAAGAAGAGTTTCACTTTGTCATCGCGATAGAAAATCCAGATGCCTGGTGTTAGGGTTCGATATCATTCAATTTTATTTCTTCCCTTTGCGCTCCCAGTGGAACATAGGGCTTCAAGCTAGAGGTTTGAAGTTTCAATAGTTTCAGCCTCATGCCCAACTTCCTCTCTTTACCAGGCTTACTGCTGGCTAAGCGAGGTAATGGAATGCGTCAACTGGGAATCGAACCCCGGACCATATGCGGCGTAGTGGTTGGCCATTGTCCTACCACTGAATCACTGGTACCTTTATTATTGGTGTTGCTTAGAGCAAATATATGGTGACTCACGGGTCGGGGTTCGGTTCCCAAACGGTGCACTCCTAAACCTCGCCTAGCTGGTAGGTAAGTATGGAAGAGAGGGAAGACTGGGCATGAGGCCAAAAATCCTAGTCTATGAAGAACAACATCAAGTGGTACTGCGATTTCAAAGCTTAAAATATTTGAAGCCCTATGTTCCCCTTCGAAACGCTAAAAATGAAAATAAAGGCAAGTGAAGCCTTATTCCAATTTAGTAACCAACTAAAAGGGGAATGTTAATTAGTGGATGGTGACTACTAGTAGTGGAATCCAGGATACGCATTTCGTCCTATTTAGGACTCGTCATCTGGATGTACCGAGCACTTCGGTCCAGTCAATCGACGGGAAAATCTAAAATTGAATTAAATAAAAAGGGAATACTCCTTTGAATAGTCTCTTTTTTAGAAAAAAAGTATTTATTGTCTCCTGTATACACGTTTTTGGTGGCTAATACCAACAGTTGTGCACAAAATTGTGAATCACACCGTATTAATTAATTAGTTAGTTAGTTAATAAGTTATTATTACTACAGGAATAACTTCTACAATGTGTATTCTCTAGTTGATTTCTGTTAAGTGACATAGAAAATTAACAGCAGGATATAAAAAGAGTGTTGAATTACACACACACACACACACACACACACACACACACACACACACACAGACACCACTATGCTTACATGCCTATGTGTTATTTGATTCATTCGGTTCCCATGAGACGACTAGTTTGAATAAAGCAGAAACGAAGGTATTTGTAGGACATGTAAGTTGATGGGATTATGTTGTGTAGCTTTTCTGAAGGAAGCTGTACAAGTTAAACTATAAGGCCAGTTAATAACTCATGGTACATATTAATATATGTTGTGTAAAACTTAGGCACTGTGATAGTAAGTAATTCCATATTAGTTTGTATATTAGATATATCACACTTTGTGAAACAGTATTGCCATTTACTGGATGACGTTTCGAACAAAATTTATCGCTCATTATAATAGAGGTTTTTGTATTTCCCAATGAATGAAAAACAAAACGATATTGTTTTTACTGACGTTTCGCTATTTAATGCTAATAGCTTTATCAAAGTATTATTAAACCGGAATTTACAAATTTACAACGTCAGTAAAAACAATATCGTTTTGTTTTTCATTTATTGGGAAATACAAAACCTTTATTATAATGAATATCATATACCCAATGCCCAAATTTTTTCAAACCGTTAAAAGTGAACTTGGTTTGGACATATATAAAAATTTATCGCTGTTCATAATCATATCATCACTTATAATCACACGACTTTGCAACTTGAGTTGTATAGTTTTCTTTATTCTCTCCCATTCGTCGTAGTAGGGGTAGTAGAATTTTCCAGGTGTTCTGGTAGACAGGTGTTGAATCATTCCTATTACATGTGTTTGCAGTTGATTCGATAAACAAAGCTTCTGTTATCAATCTCTCCTAATCTCATAAAAACCTAGGGAAATCTAGATTGCTTGATCCGAATAAGATAAGAAATCTAGAGGATAGTTCAGCTATGGCACTCACCACATGCAATTACACACAACCATACAATAGGATGATGGGATAAGACGACAGTTATAAAATCTAATGTAACAGGGTGGAGAGAGAGATTGATAAGGGAAGCTTTGTTTATCGAATCAACTGTAAACACGTATAATCGGAATGATTGAACACCTATCGCAGACATCTGCAAAATTGGAAGTTTCGAGGTTGTGTGTTTATAACTGATATGATTATGAACAATAATAAATTGTGTTCGAAACTTTGTCATCTAGTAAATAATACTGTTTCTTCACTGTGTGATACGTCTAATAAACAAATTAATATGGAACTCATGGTACACACTACAAACAAGAAAATTTGCTGAAGAAAGGTAGAGATGGATCTAGAAATTCGCACCAGGCCCTTGTGAGTGGAGACCGATTGGCTAATGATGAGTTAAGCGTTCAAGGGTGATGTAGAGGTGATATTGTGTGAAGAAGAGATGAGAGTTTGTGCTGGTATTTGTGGAGCCAACTAAAGTGGACAATAGAGATCAGAGTGGAATAGAGATGTCCCAGTGTTGTGTAACCCTCTGTTCCACTCGGAACCTAAAATAATGATAATCCTATACACTAACAGATCACAAGACATGACTGACTGGTTCCAACATAGAACTTTGCACAGATGTGCAGCAGTTCGAGTTGCCCCGCTCCCTCCATGTAACGCACACAACACAAGAGAAGAGAGTAAACAGAAATTCAAAGGAGAGAGAAAAAGATAATAAACAGAATTGTGAGGGAGGCAGAAAGAATAGTAAGATGGAAGAACAAAAGAGTTTTATTCGATATGACTGGCAAAATGCATCTGAGCCAGCTATTGACAACGAGGATTTTGAGCCAGCCATATCACCACTAATTGTCTCCAGTCGTCATTGGTTCTTACGATCCATCCCGAGGACCCCAACCAGTCAGTCAGGCAGTCTACACTTCCCTACGTGACCGGCTTAAACTAAATGTTATGGATTTGATTGATTGATGGAGCCATGTTTTGGTTTAACCACCACCATTAGCTTTCTCTTTTCCAACCTGATCCATCCAGTGGCAGTCAGCTAACATTTCCCGTCGAGGAGGGCGATGGGTAGGCACCAATCAGTCGCCGGAAATACATCTAATAACCTAAACTTTACAATTTCTTTTGGTATTTAAGAACACAAATCTGCAGAGATTTCTTCTTGTTGTAATTCCTCTTCAGATTTGTTCACTTATCTAGGGGTTCATATATACAATATTAATTAACGATCAACTTCATGGTTTATTATCCATTAATAACACAAGTATGAGGACTGGTCGCTGATGTGATCTCAACTCGATTACATAGACTCATGTGGTATATATCAACCTGCATCATTCTTGCTGTCGACATAATATCCGACTATCGATCGAAGAATGGGTGTATTGTGCAGCAGTTCTCTCTATCCTTTTCCTTTACGGTTGTGAAACATGGTCTTTGAAAGTCGAAGACCCGATGAGACTAGCAGTCTCTCTCTCCTTTTGACCACAG